AGTGATTTTTTTATCGTCTCCTTTCATAAATGTTCTCTCCCGTTGCTTGTATATCGTCTCCTCTCTTTGCACAATATTCTATTTCCTTCTCGTGATTGTTGCCTATAAAAGCCACTCAACGATGAGGTGGGAGGCAGAGCGAGGAAAGAGGCGGAGAAGAAGCAATATGTAAATAAAGTTGTGTACTATGCACTCGAAGATGATGACACTGGAAGGAAATACACTAAAGAGTGGTTTAATTGCATTTGAAAGGTGGTGTTAAAGGGTGGGAAACGATTGTTTGATCCTCCTTCTCCTATTCAATCGATTGGGGGTGAAAGAAATTGTAGAATGTGATGTTGGGATTGACAGTCAGAAATTTGAAGAATGGCACGCATGACAGGAAGTGAAAAGAGATCTCCTTGGAAATTAATATCTCCTAATTGAATTATTGCTGATGTATTATAGTCAGTGGTCTGGCAGTATCAATGAGAGGCGAGTGCCAGCAAAAGAACGACTGAGATAGCGATATGTGACCCAATTTTTCACACTTATGACCAGTTGAATGTTACATAATAGGCGCCCGGTGTAGCTCGCGTAGAGATAATGAGTGCTGCTGTGAAAAAGGCGCGAAGAAATGCCGGGAAAAGTCATCATGTGCACAGTGAGGGGAGAAAAAAGTCCAGAAGATAAGAGTAAGAAGTTATCAGCAGTTGTGTGTGGAGTACAAAATTGTGAGGTGGCCGCAAAAAAGAGAAATGGAACAAAATTTATAATCGACTTTTTACTATCAATTAATACAATTTTCATCATTACATTGCTCTCTGTCATACAGTTGAGTTGTGGGGAATTTTTATATCTTATCTTTGAGAGGTGGTGTTTGAAGGAATTCCACAATTTTTCACTCATTAATCACACACCTCTTTTCGATCATTCACAATTTATTATGATTAATTCTTTCCATTTGAATCACATACTCGCCGGCGGGGAGGTGAGGTAAAAAGCAGCGTGTGAAAGAAAGTGCCGATATATTCGATTTCACTTTGTTGATTCACATTTATACATAATATTGCCCCTTTATTTATTTTGCGCACTTCATTTGCCAATCATAAAATTGTAATCGTCATTTTCCCACACAAGAATGCTGGATTGGAATTCCGGATGTCGATGCGGTAAAATGTTCTAGTTAACCCTTTGAAGTCAACAAGGTTCTAAATAAACATTTTCCCACAATCAGTCACAGTCATAACCAAACAAAGTTCAGAATGAGTGTAGAATTTTATTAGAATTAAGACAGAATAGATTACTTTTTTATAGGACAAATGTGTACCGTTTAACATTGAAGAGTTAAAACAATTTAGAGTTAATCATGAGCGCTGAATAAATTGATTTAGTTCCACCTTGTTATGGATATATGATTAACGATCTCTGGTATTTAATCTGCTTCTCATGTGATTTTTATTGTCGTTATATTTTAAAGTCAAAGGTCTCTCAATACTCGCCAAAAGTCGTATATCTTAATCTGCGGATTTAGTTCTTGGGCCTTCGGTTTTTTTGCAACCACTCCCACTGCATTGAAAATTCTCTGCGAACAGATTATGCAACTGAAAGGCTATTTCTTTTTTCCTCCGCGAATGTTATAAGATCAATTTTGACTGTCGACAGAAATTCTATGTTGGAGAGATATTAGATTAGCAAAGTAGTGATTAGCAGCGAATCTCTTGGTGGGAGAGATTCTAACTCTCCTACATCACATTCGCTGGCTGCACACGTGTTCGGTAGGAGCAGAGTAACTATGGGTGTCTGCTTCACGCCTCGCGGAGGCCAAGCGGGCGTCGTGTGTGAGTGATTTCAGCGGCGCTGTGTATGTGGCCCCATTGATAATGAGTGTAAAATTAATGTCTGGTGGAGTGTGGAGTATTGAAATGCTGTCTGTTGCTATGCGGAATTTTTTTCCTCTCGCTTATTTTTATCGGTCACTTGAAATGGCAAATTTTGTGTGACACGAGAGAGGAGCGTTTTTTTTCTTCTCTGAGGTAAAAGGCTCTCGTCGTAAGCACGAGCGTGGAAAAATTTTATCAAATTACCTCCGGAGCAAAAATGAGGTTCACATGGTGCACACATATTCGCATTTGCCGGCCGGGATGAGCATTGAGCTTCACGACACTGTAATGTTGTACTCGTGGCAAGAGAGTTATGTGAAGAGAGGTGGACATGGTGAATGGAGTAGAGTTGGTATGGCATGCTTTTCGCGATGTTATGTAATGGAAAAATAGTAAATAGGTGGGAATATTTACAATGAGAATTTTTATTCGTGTGTCTGTTTCTTTCACAAAATAGCCAACTAATGAAGGTAATATAGAAAGAAAAATATAAAAACATGAAATTACTTAAATGGGTCAATGACATTTTGTGTCGGGTCTGATCATTATTAACGACGTTCTAATACCCCTGTTCTAAGCTGATGAGTTGACTTGCACAGTGTGTGCATCATTGGGAAAGAGTTACGAGAGGAAATACAAATGGAAATTGAGAATACAAATTTTCCTCGTATTTCCAATGGATGATAAGTTCATTCATGGCTTTGATTAGTTGTGCGGATTTCGATCTATACTGAAATGCGCGCACAGTCGTCAATTTGAGAAATTGTATTTTGGGAAGTACATTCACTTGGACCGGAGGTTTGTCTTTCGGTTTTATGCGACGCAGAAGCGGGTCTCTTGAAAATTCCTGCGTGTAAAGCTCGTTGCCAAGTGAGTAACTGGTTTCAGGCAGACTGTCTCAAATGATAATCAAAGCTAACCACATTAAATAACTGATACGGACTCATGAAAATGTATACATTTTTGAATTCTTACGCTCTAACGTTTGAGGGAGCTCGAGATGTGTGGCTGGAGAGGCCGAAAAACTGGTGGAAGTGAGGTGAACGTAAATGATTTTAATTAATGAGAATATCATTAAGATTGCAATATTGTGTGTTGCTGCTTCGCTGAAGTCAAAAAGAATGAATCGATTAATTAGAGTTGTGGTGAGAGAAGAAGAGGAGATTCATTTGGTGAAATTGACACTGAAATTGCTTGAGGAAATTCTCACTCAACATACCGGATGTGTAGCGGCTTCTCTTTAGAGTAGCTGAAGTCAAGGTGAGGAAGACTTTCTGTGGCAAAATCACAGCTTTTCCTCTCTAAATACTTAAGAAATCAAATGCGATAAGCTTTCCGCATAGTTTTTCCATGGAAAAGACACTGATGGAGAAGCATGAGGTGGAAGAAGTGAATATATCAGTTGTTAATGCAAGAATGGTGTCTCTTTGAGCGGTTTAATAAGATGAGAAAAGGCCCAGAGAAAAGGAGCAAAAAGAAGAGACATGAAATTTGTGTTGTGAATGGGAAAGAGGTGTAATGTTGCAAACTTGAAATCTCTTCCGACGAGTTGGCAATCGGGACGAATATCTCACACACTGTTCTTCCAAACGGCCCCAGACATACAAAACCACTATTATATTTTTGCTTTTATTTGGAGAAGAGAAGTGTACTGAGAATTTTTGGAGACCTTTCACCATCCAAATTCCGGCCGGTGAACAGTTTCTTAATTCTCTGCTTCTTCTTTTTCTCCTCTTGCCTTATTATTATTTCTTTTTAAATTCACCTCATCACACGATGAATGCCGTGTGTGTGCAAATACCGAAAATTTAAAGTCACAGAGAATGTGAAAGATGGGTAGAATTTATTTTGGGCGGGTCAAGTGAGAGGTGAATATATTTTGATATCCGTTTTGGGAAATATTTTTGATATGAAAGAGAGAGCGAGTGAGATTTCTCTACAACTTCTTGCGTTTAGTGGCATTTTCGTGGAAATGCGCTTGAATCTCCACGTGCTGCACATAATGGAAATTTCCTTGAACCTGTTCCACATTGCGTTTTGTATTTTTGAAAGACAAAAAGGTATATAAAGTATAGGCACGATTAAGTAGTTTCCAAAGAAAACGAGTGTACGAAAGAGTGGGAAAGATTACGGGGAGTTGACGGCCCCACATTCCATTCCCAGATTCATTCCAATTTAACGAACAAGTTTTTGGGCAATTTGCTGCATGTGTTGGTGTGTTGAGTCCAAAGAATGTTCGCCAAATGGGTGAAAGAACATGTCGAAAGAATGAGTGATTCACTTGATCTTCTCTAGCTACTTTCGTGCCATTTTTCACAGAATCATCCACCATCGATCGGGTCGTTTAATCTCCTCGCGATGATCATGTATGCTGTGTGTTCTCAATGGTGTGTAATATGATTTTGGTGTGATGGACAGAGAAAGAGAGGGAGAGAGATGCTAAATTGTTGGATGGAGAGGAGATGTGAATAATGAGTGCTGGCGAAAAATTGTTTAAAGTCCCCACACATCATGACGAGAGTGAGAGGTGATCGAACGATCATGAAGAACGTCTTTTTAACGCTGGGGATTTCGCATTTTTCGACCTGCAGATCACTTATTGATTTCGCGAAAAAATTGATGCTCGCGGCTGGTGTATTCCTTTATCTCGAACTTCTTCTCTTTCTCACCCTTTAACTTGTTATGGAGGAGAGATACATGAACTTCCCAAACGATCTTGTCATCATCATTTCTTTCACCGATCGATCGTGGGGCGCACATTGATGATCGCGCAAACTCCCAAAAACCCACCAAAACCGAACGGAACGGCTAAATTGTTGGGCGTCTGGCAGTGTGTGATTATTGGGCAAAAAAGAGAAGCTCTCCTCGTGAACTCAATTAAGGGGTTACAAGAAAAAAATCAAAGAGATGTCCCGAAAATTCCATTCTCTTTTCACCATATTTCATACTTGCTCGCCGATCATGATCAACATGTATTGATCTCTTGGCGAAAATTAATATTATCAGCGATGCTGTGCGGCTTCCTTTGGGGACACACACATTATTACCTTTAGTGTGATCTTTAATTAAGACTTTATCGGGTCTCTTGGCAGCTAGCATTTTCTTAATGGCTGTTCTCTCTTTCTCTTTTGATTGCAGAAGAGGAGATCGATGTCGTATCGGTGGGTGACAAGACATTGCCAACGAATCCAAGTGCGAGAGATCGGCGCACGATACAGACAACGATATCCGACAGGATAGTGAAGACAACTCCGAGGGGTCTGAAGACCATCCCTCCGCGGAGGGTGAACGGGGTTGTGTCTGAGCCGCCGTCGCACATGACAATGTCCGCCCGTGCGAAAATGAGTCATGCGATGTCCTCAGCCTCACAGTACGGCACAGTGCAGAGCACTAGATCGTCCGGCTACAAGGGCCAGACGGTGCGGAAGGGCAAAGACACTGGGCGTAAGAGGGCCGGCTCGAAGTTGGATGGACCGGCATCGAAAAAGCACAAGGGCAAGAAGGGGCGCATGTCGCATGCGAAAAGCGCCAAGAATATCGACTTGTGCGAGCAGGACTCGATCGAGAAGAGGAACTTGCACAATGACATGGAGAGGCAGAGGCGGATAGGACTCAAGAACCTATTTGAGGCCCTCAAGGCGCAGATCCCCAGCTTGAGGGATAACGACAGGGCACCAAAAGTGAACATCCTGCGCGAAGCTTCGATCCTCTGCACTCAACTGCACAATGAGAACGAACGGTTGAACAACCTGAAGAGGCATCATACCAACATCCAAAATCGCCTGCGAGCCATCAAGGGACATCTCACATCTAGCAATGTGCCCGTCCCTGAGTATGCGTACTAAGAAGAGAGGAGCACGCGATAAAGGTATGAGATTCTCTCATTGACTATTCACAATTTGGGTGGAAAGCAGGAGAATAAAAAGGTTTTTCACGTGTTTTCAAGGATTTTTGAGGTGAAAAAGATAAAAACCATATCTCTGTAATGGTTTTAAACCACGTTCCTCGCGGAACGTTTCAATGATCTCTACTTAATTATAATAAAGAAAAAAATTGCTTAGGTTGTATAAATATGGAAAGAATAGCATTTACTTGAGAATGAAATATATACAGTAATTTTTAATTAAGAAAAACTTTTAGAGAAGAAGATATGAAAGTGTAAAAATTTCAATTAGAATCTTAGATTTCTAGTAGGAAAGAGAAAACAAATTTTGCTTAACTATAAAGTAGGAAAACAAAATATTTGCAAAAAAGAAGGTTTTTGAGTAAGATATTCAAGAAAAGATATTTGTGTCCAAAGTAATTTTTTAAAAGGAATTTTGATATTTTAACTAAGATTGATAAGGAACAATCGTGATTTTTTTTTAGATAGGAGAAGCTTTGTTTATTCTTAGCATTGAAAAATAACAACAAATTGATGAAGAAAAATAATAAATTTAGATTCTTGGACACAATTACATTTTACAGTGCCAATTTACGTTTAAGACCCATTTATTATTAATAACTTTTTTCTTCAATGAAATTCACAAACGATATACATAAATGAAATATTGAACACCATTTTAACTTGATAGTTTTTCTATTATCAACTGTATAAAAGACAATTTTTGTATAAAAGGAATTCTAAAAAAAATATCTATGAATATTTAAAAATATATAATCATGAATAAATAATAAAAAAAATTCTCATTGGTGAAGAGAAAATATATAATGTAAATATTTATTAGATAGACTTTAAACAAGATTAGATTTCTTTTGCAATTACATTGTAGGAATTAAAAATTTGCATAAAAGATGAATATTTTTCCATGATATAGCGTAGGAGGGAATGGAATAGATCCATGTATATTTTGGGGGTCTTCTTTGGCGGGGCAGAAGAAGGAATATTAGGCGGTACAAGGAGAAAGTAACTGACTAATAATTCTGAGTGATTTGTGAAAAAAAAAATTATGTAGTTTATTAAAGTAGGAATTATCATGAATTTTATCAAGAATTGAGAAATGAGAATTAAAATGAATTGAAGGAAAGCGCAACCGTTTTCGAAAGATGGTAGTTTTAACAATGAATGAAAAAATATTAATCATGAAGTATAGAGAGAAGAGAAAACATATTTTAGCACATGATGGAAAGATATATTTCATTAGATAGTAGGGAGAACTTTTCCGAATGTAAATTAATCCATGTATTTAATTTTTTGCATTAGAGATCATACGTTTAATTGGTGAAAATAATAATTCTATAACATTTTTACAATGAGTGGCACTCGAGTCACCGCACTTTTTTTACTTATTTTTTTTCTTGATTGCTACCAACCAAATATATGTTCTACGAAATATTTTTTTTAATTATCCCGCAAAAATGGAGAAAAATGAGTGGAAATTAGGAAGTATATAATTAAAAAATAAATTTCTAGTAATTATATTACAATTTCGCTGAAGATGGGAGAAATTTTTTCAAAATCAAATGAAGTTTGTATATATTGAATTGAATTAATAATGAGATGAAGAAGAAAATGCATTGATAAACATTCTAGAAATATAAGAAAATGCAGAAGCTTCACAATTTCTATATGCAAATTAAAAATTTGTCTTCTGTTTCCTTTTACATTTGCAAGCAAAAGTGCCACGAGATGATTTTATAATTGCAGTTACGTTGATGAATTTTTGATTAATGGAAAAATTACATTATTGTTTCGTGCTGAAAAATTTTCTGTTTTTTTACGATGACAGTTTTTCTCCTTTGTTTTTTTTTTTAATGCTAAATGAACATTTCTATAAATATAAGTAGGTGAAGAAATTTTAAGAGTTGAACTTTACATATATTATTGTGATTATTTTTACTTACTATTTTACTTCTAAATCAATTAACTTGAATATAGAGAAAGAGAAAATGTTTTCTTTAGAAATTTATATGAAATAAAAGAAGAGGAGTAATGGAATTTTCTTGCTGTTTTTTTTAACCTTTTCTTTTACACTAATTTTAAGTAGGATTTGATTTCATATACCGCTATAGGAATTTATGTGAATAAAATTATGAAGTAAATAGATGAAAAACTAATGCAATTTTGACTATATAACACAAGCCAAAAATTTGAAGACATTTGAGGACTTTTATGGTGAACGCTGATTCGTCGTTGCAAAACATAAATTAAATAATAATAATAGACATACTTTAATTGCTGAAGTCAAGTGAAAATTGGGACCAAATTGAGTTGTTCTGTTCATCTTATTACACTATCGATTCCTTCGCTACGTTCCTCGCTATACTTTATCTCTGTATACTCAAGGAAGTGAGACACGAAAACCATAGCATTTTTCTATCAAACAGCGACTCATGCGTTCTACCATAAAGTGGTTAATAGCAAGCAGCATGCAACTGAGAAAAGAGCTGAGAACCCCAAAAGATTTAATTGGCGACAAAAAGGTGTTAACATAAGTAATGGAGAATAGTAGCTTCTAATACCAAAATAGTAATTTGTAAAGATCTAACGACGAAAAACTACACTACAAACAGAAAAAAACTGATATTAAGAGATAAACTAAAAGCAACCATGTGCCGTGTGTAGGAAAAAGTACTGCCTCGCTTTATTCAACATTGAAAAGGAAACAAAACAAGAGAAAGTTATACATAAACAATATATATACATATATATATATATCGGAGAACATTTTTAATCCAAACACTTTCCCCAATTTCCCCGTAAACAATAGAAAAAGAGATGCAAAATGAAATTAGGACAAAAAGGCAAGTGAAATTGCAAAAAGATTGAACAATTATGAGAAAATCTTAAGAATACACATCTGTTATCAAAAGTACCTGGACTATTAAGTAATTTTAATGTAAACATTTAAGGATATGTTTTTTTTTGTAATGATAAAAAATACAATTCAATGCAAGTAATTATACGCATATTAAGATTAGGATTTTTTCTAATAATGATACTTGAAGCCGAGAAATAGTTTAAGTATATTAAAAAAAAAAATGAAATATAATTCATAAATATAGGGAGAGTAATAGTTGCAAGGCTTAACACTGATATTCTTGTCGCCAATTAATTGACTAAAAGAAGAAAAAAAACCCATAAACTGCTTTCGAGACACAATACACGAAGAACGATTTACAAATATATTTGAAAGATGATGTGCGAAGGAGGAAATGCAACTAAAAGAAACTTGACTCTTTTTTCAAAACATTTATTTAGATGTAATGAAAAGAAAAAAAAATACATGAAAGAATTAAAAAAAAATAGAAGATTGTTGGAGTTGAAAATACAAATAATACAATATATTTACTTATTTTATATTTTTTCATACATTTATATATATTGAAAGATAAAACAAAACAAAAAATAAAACAATGAAAAAATTAGAAGAAATAGAAGAAAATAGGAAATTGAAATTTTACAACACAAAAAAAGAGCAAAAGTGAAAAAGTGTGAAAAAATTGAAAATACAGAATTTTTTTGTATTTCTCTTTTAGTTCCTGTAAAACTGAATTATGAAGGCAAAGAAAAATACATTTGTAAAACGGAAAAATGGACTTTTTCTCTCTTCGTTGTTTCGATTCCATTTATTTTGTTGATTGAACTTTTTCCTCGTGACAATTGATGTGAAAATGGAATTAATTCAGCTTCTACACGGTAAGTCAAATCATTCAATAAAGTGGTATAAATTTCGGAATTTACATATATTTTTTCATTCCTAATAGCCCAAGATTCCTGTACTCTCAAGGAGAATACATTGAGAACGATGAGTTTTTCGAACATCACAAACAGTTAGTCGTCAGAGTCCAAATTACACTTTATGCCTGCTGTGAAATGTTGCTGAGAGACCTTCTCAGACTTAGGATTTAAGCCTTTTAACCTTCTACGTATTTCTGGACATTTCTAGCGTATGTCTGCAATAATGTGACGTGATTACGGATTCTAATCACAGGTAATTTGAGTGCAGGCAAGTGTTTTCTCTTAGAACGCAGCGACGTTCCGCCAAGGATTCGTTATGGAAGCAATAAAATTTATTAGTATGCTAAATGCTGAGAAATTTGAGGGAATTCAGCGCATTCCTTGGCTGCGTCGTGTTCCTGAGCATGACCACCAAGGATGACGGCGGAGGACACAAGGATTCCACCTTTATGGCGACTCTAAAATCTCTCGCAGGAGTTTGAAGGTTCTGCTCGGCTTTTGGGGAATATTTGCATTTTGTGTTTACTCTCGCTCAGGGCTTCACTTTGGAACACAGGTAAATTTTCTCAATACTTACCTGTCTTGAAATTCTATGCGTCTTTTTTCATCCTTCAGCCTTCGGCATTGTCTGCCTTTTAGAGGGCCGAAAAGAAATTTTAGAGCTGAAATTCTCTATAATCTCTGGCATCCAAAATGTCTCTTCTCTTGCACCTCCGCTCGGGGTCAATGCAATTTTGCTGCGCGGCTCTTGATCAATTTCCGGCGATGGTGTCCAATTTGCGCGGACCTTCTCTTTATGCTGCTGCGAGTCGAGATGTGATGCGCAAGAGAAAAAGAATAATGAGGAATTGGCGCCAAATTCATAGCATCAGCCGTATTGGTATTTTTAGCATGAAAAACGCAACGGCAGAACCTGTTCTTTGGCATGAAACCGTGTAGAATCTAACGCTAGAAGACAATAAATCGCCAATAAACGATGAAATTTCGCATGAAATACTGCGATGATCTAATTTTATTGTAATCATTCGCGGAAATTTCATCTTTCATGGCCTCAACGAAAAGTATTTTGAGCCTCTCTCATGAAAACTCGTTTCTTTTTTCAGCGGAACTCACCCGGAAGATTGTGTGCAAATTGCAAATGTAAATATCTTTTAAAGGGAGAATTATTGCCTTTCTCTTTCTCACTGCAATTCTGATTCTTTTCTCCAGATAGCATTCATGTGAAAAATCACGTGAGTGTGAAATCATACGCAATTGCAGAAATCACACACTCAGTAATCCTTCTTTTCGGACTGCCTGAAGCTGTCTTCCCTCTTTCTCTTCCTAATCCAACTCCTTTCTGTGGTCCTCCCACAGCAAAAAAAAGCAAAAACATTGCCCAAAGAATGCACTTATTGGACTTATTGTTATCCTTTGAGATGCTAAAATTGCATCTGCTCATATTTTTTTGCTATTCCTTGAGAGCATGCACAAAGAATGAGTCTCAGAGATCTCAAAAACGACCCGAAAGAGCCAAAGAATTGTAGATTAGTCTGAGATTTCGTAGATATAAGGATTTTAGTTGTGCGGCACAGCAATGCAAAGGTGAAATGCAATCAGCGATATTAGATAATTTCTCATCTCAGCCTTCTGTATAAATTACTGTCCCTTGAAATCAACCACAAGAGAAAAAAAAGAATCCACAGAAAAAAGGAGTATGAAAGCTATTTCCTGCATGTGTTCTCCATATTTCATGACTGCCGCAATTTTGCTTATCAGCGTGGCCTCAGAGCAGTTTGGTAAGTTGTGAGAGAATATTCCTACCATGTGCATTGTAATTCCATGAAATTTAAAAGAAATCCACCACCCGAAGCGCCTAAATTGTATGCGGCGAAATAAATCGACATACAAAACGATGAGAAGTACAACGAAGTGGAAAAAAATTCAATAATTTTTGTGAAAGGGTCAACAATCTCGGCATTTTGTGCCCCATTCGGGCCATGGAGGAAAGCACGTCGGTGGGCAGAAGGGGAAGGATTTCGAGAGAAGAAGAATGTGCATTTGAAAAAAAATCGCACAGCCCTCGAGGGGGTGAGAATTGTGGCGTGGCGCGACAATCACTTGTTCTTATTCAGAAAGTGCCTCATGTTTTATTTGCTGCGTTCTCAACTCTGCGGTGATTGTTCTCGCGAAGAGGAGGAGGAATTCAACAAACCATAGCGGCACACTAATTTGAGAAAAATATAGAGGCGATCCTTTTCGAATTAGGAACTCTCTGAACATACGCTGCACGCGATTCTTTTCTCTTCTTGGCTCTCCTTCGCGCCCGACACAGCCAAGGAATATTATAGTGCAAGCAGGAGAAGAGAATGGATTTTTGGTAGGAGAGCGAGAGACCTAAAATAAAATGGAGGCAAATAAAAATTGCCGAAAAGGGAATAATAAATCGACTCTTTAGGAGGTGCTTGAACTTGCCAAGGCCAATTACTCATAAGTATAGAACGAGGAAACGACTGTGAAAGAGAATGTGCCAAGAAGTGCGCGCGTAACACAGAACTTCGGCTGTAGATAGCATTTTCTCATTTTTCTTCGCAACCCTCTCCTCGCGCCCCCTCCCGTGCCAAAAAAAACACCCAGCCGCGAAATTGCCATGCGATTTTATTGATTATGAATTTGCAAATTTTTTCCCACCACTCGTGCGCCCGCAAATGATTCACACGTGGGGCGAAAGGAAGTGACAATATGATGTGTAAATGAACTGATAAGTTATGCTGTCTCGCAAAGTATATTTGAATGGAAAATCCTGCAGGGCATGGATCTATTTGGTGTGTCGAAATTCGCTGGAAAGGCTATTCCCATTTTTTGTGGGCAGATGAATTGTCCTCTTTTTCAACATGAAAGAGACAATTTTGCCTGCAGCATTTGAAAGTGTAAAAGGAAGAGAATGTGACACATAGATAAATTTCTCTGGGCCAGAACAATAATAATTGTGAAAGCATGAAAGGGAATGTTTGACTCAATGAGAGCATTTTTTTTTCAATCAGTGACTCTGCACATCCTTTTCATTGCTGAGTGTTACTCAGGTTTTCTCACACTTCCCAAACCGACATTCTTGTTAGACGTCTTGCTGGGCCTACAAGTGAAAAGGAAGAAAGCTTGATCGGTGACAGGAAATCGTTAATATGCTTGAATTTTAACCAATGGCTCAAAATATTCCTGCCATGTTCAGAATTTGCATAACAATCCTTTAAGGCATAATTCTTTGGAGTGAGTTTTTTCCAGCATGAAAGGACGAAAATGCATTGATGAAATCCATCCTCATGCATTATGTATCAAGTGGATAAGGCAAGATATTTTTGTGCTAAAAAGGCTAGAACCCAAATTAGGGGAGAGAAATAGCCATAGGCAGTTTGGACCTCTGCGTTTCTTTCCAATGTTATAAAACGGCGCATATTCATTTACCGCACGACTAAGATTCACAATTACTTGTAGAGTATTCATATAATGAGAATTTGATGTAGAATTTCGTATTATTAGGTTCATTAAAAAAAATATAGCAATTTTGGAAGTAATTTTGATTAAAATGTCACTCAGTGTTTGTAATTAAACCTTGAGAATCTCCGTAAAGACGAAAAAGGGGTGGATGCACACCTCAAAAGCGACTCTTTGCTTTTTTCTGAACCCGAGTGAGAGTGTGAAAATTTATATCGCTTCAGTTGACAAGACATGTAACGCTATACTCCGTAGAATGGTTAAATCCAAGGCGGGAATAAGTATTAAAATGTTGCTTTTCTTTTTCTTGCCTTAGGTAATTCAATACTCTTCATCATTGACGCGTCCGTGTTAAGAAGGAAAGGAAAACATGAAGTTTCTATAAATGGATTTAGTAAAAGAAAAAAGAAATACTTAGAAAAACTGTACATCTCGTAAGTATCGCAACCTTATTATTGTCATGGGAGAGAAGAGACCCTCTATTTTGTGGGTGTTATGCTATATCGCCCACCTTTAATATCCGGGATTGGATTCATTGTGTGCGGTTGTTACAAAAACACTTCTTGCAAATCAACAAGACGCTCCTCTTCATGCCTCTTTCACTCCGCTCAATGTATCGATCGGGCAAGGGAAAACTTTTTTAGCATTGCGCCAGGTTAGTTTCTTCGCCAGCCTAAAGAGGAGACGAAGAAACATTACACCCTCTCTCTGGGAACCTCACGTTCCTCCCCCAGTGCTAATAAGCACAATCTCTCCCAGGGCCACATTAAAAGCCCTAAAAGTGCCCTCATTCAGCCGGAGGAATTCAGTTGCCGGATCAATTTCAATGGCTTTTCAAATTTATGTAATATCGATTGCCAGTCTGCAAATGAGAGATACCCGCAAATGCAAGTTGCTCATCTATTGTTGTTCGGCAACAGCTGTTCATCGATGAAGATTAATCTATTGTGTGGAGATTTCTTTATTAACAAAAAAAATCCCTGCGGAAAAAGGATTGAAGATTCGGCAAGCTCTCAAGAGTACGCCCAACAAAAGGCTCAGATAATTTCATTTACATTACCTTTCCGAGGGGAACTCCTTGAATGTTTCTTTTGTACTGCTGCAACACTCCGCTCTAATTTGTGAATGCACAAAATTAGGTCAATTTATTGATTTCCAGAGGAAATCTGCGCGTAATCACATTTTTATAACCGAGTGTGTGTGGCTGAGAGGCGCGTAAAAAGCCCGCGCTTTGGCACACACTGTCATGAGAGTTCGTGATTCCGGGTGTCAAAGTGTCTTCACTCGCAGAGCGTGTTTTGTGCCGGTTTTCGCGTGTTTTATTGTGAGAGAATGCTGAAGAAAGTGCCACTGGTTGTGATACTCGGGTCCACGGGCACGGGCAAGACGAAGCTCTCGCTGGAGTTGGCCAAGAAGTACGGTGGGGAGATCATCAGTGCAGACTCCATGCAGGTTGGTGCAGACCTAACCTCACTTCTCTCGCCGGCTCGAACTGCCGGATGATTCCATATACTCAGGGAGATTGAAGAGATGGATTGGATCGTGCCACTGTTTCAGTCACATTTACACTTTCTTCCAAGCACAATTGCCAAATCCAAAGGTGGGGGCAGTTAATTGGGACTTAACACGAACGGCGTGCATTAATAAAAATACAATATTAATTAGATTTATTTAGAATTTTTATATATCCGGAAACACAGACACTTGATTGTGGATGGTCTCTCCTCGACATTGCCGAGAGGAGTAAAGAATTTACATTAAAATAATTTTTATTAGTCATTATTCTACATTTCTGAAGCAATAAAGCAATTTATGGTGAAGTGTGAGGAAACATCAATTAAAAGTTAGTGAATTCTATTTTCCTTCTCATATCAAACTCTGTACATCTCACCCCAAATGTAGGGAGACCCACCTTTGCCGGTCTCCCCTTTTGCATAAGAGCCCTTTCGTGTTTTTATTATTGGCTTTTTATCCAGCGTCTTATTAAAATTAATTAATATTTTTACTCTCTGTGTGGCACATGTTTCTCCCTCCCCTTTCGTGAATAAGAAAAAAAATTGCGTAACACTTTCAATTGATTCTCCCCCTGTTTTCGGGGAAGTGTCTCATGAGAACAACACTTGCAGAGGGAAGAGAAACTCACATTTCACAAGGCTAAAATTGTAGATTATTCCGTATGGATATAAAGGGACAGGTGCAGCGATCTTTTGCAATGTTTTCGCAGTGGTGGAAAAGTCGAGCCGAAATACACACAATTTCTCCTATTTAGTATGCGATCAAAAATTTTACAGTCTGAGAGAATCTTATGAGACTGCGCTCAGAAATGGGAAAAGAGATTATTTCGAAATCAATTTTCACTACGGTGTTAATAATTTGTCTGTGTAATGCACAAGCACATCTCGAGGCACGAGATATGGAGAGAAGACGATGAGGCAAAAGTGCGTACCCATTGAGGATGATGATAAAATGAAACAACATGAGAAAACACGCTCAGTATGAATCCCAAATAACGATGAACAGGTGCATTTGATGAAGAGGAATTAAATCATTATTGCCACCAGCCAGTAATCTCACGTGCCGTCTGAGTAGAAGATCTTTGGCGAAAGACAGGGGATTATATATGTGGAAATATATCAAAGGGGGAGTGCAAAAAGCTTCATTATAAGCGCTAGTTAAATAATGTTCCGGATCAGTTAAGGGGTAATAGTTTACTAGACATTCTTATTCACTCTATTTTTATTCTTTCATCGTTGTTTTGTTGATATTGCATAGAAATATTCTTGATACAAGAAAATGTAATTCTAAATTTCCTTCTTTAAAAAAAGTTAAGGCTTTCTTAAAGAATTTCATTTCTCTTTATATACAGATAATTTGATTAGGCGATGCACATAAGAAGAATGTTTTGTGTATATTATTATTTTTTTATAGATATCCTTGTAAGTTCGTGAGGTAGTTCAAGCATATGACGTCTAAAATATGGCTACTTCTTGGCTAATGAGATGACTGAGTACCCCAAGTACGAATTCCTTGTATAAATGAAGACTAATGTCTTCAGTGAAGTCTGTTGAACTCTTCAACAGGTTGTTCTGAACGAGGGTGTCTCGCCCAACTTTATACACCTGCAGTTGACTTCATTAGTCATGTGTCTGGTTTCGCTGCTCGCAATGCACATCCCCTCACTTAGGTCATCTTTTCTTCCAGTAATTTCCATAATCTTGTTGAATTTAACGTGTTAGAATTTAATTTATCTGCTTATTGTTGTCAATTTTAAGAGAAGAAGTATAGAAGGAAAAAATGGAAAATGTTTAGAGCGCGTGGATTTTTAACATACAAATATTGACATATTATAACGTAAATAAATAGCATTATGATAAATTGAGCGTTGTGTGCAGCAATACAAGAGCTAAGAGGTATTGGTGGGAGGGCACCGGGTATGTGAAGCTCATCTATACACTCCATATTTCACTGGGTTTACGTATTCAATTAAGTAAATTGTACGAATTGCAGGGATTAGTCACGAGTTGGACTCTGAAGCACATGAAAATTTTTACCTCGCTCGTACTTTGAATGGGTCTAATTGAATTATCTCTCCTGTTCACGATTCCTACCGCGATATTGAATACCGGGACTCAATTTTCATTCTTTTTCAACGCCTCAACTTATATGTAAAATATATATTCACATCTGGACCAAAGAACAGCTCATCTCTGTCAGAGGTGGAGAAAAGCAATGTGACAAAATTAAATAATTAAGTATGGGAGATGGGTAATTAATTTAATTGTGAAAGCAAATGATGTGCACAATTTTTATCCAGCTGTCATCGCAATAAGAATGAAATTTGTTCCATTGAAATGTTTTGGAATTATATTTGAATTCGATTTATCTTCACTTGAATTTAGCATAAAATCGAATATGTTGTATTTTGAGTATCTGCTTAAAGCTAGAACTTTCGTAAGCTCTGCTTCGTGTTAGGTTTCTACACATTTTTCAGTCTTCAGCACGTCTTACCTTATATACATAATATATACATGTAAGGTGTTGTAAATTGAAAGTTTTCTGGATGTTTCACAGCATGACACTTGGCTATTAAAGTGTATTTTGAATTAACAGACTTTTTCTAAACAATTGATTTATAAAGCTTGCACAGAATTGCGATTGACCTCCTTCAAGTATTCTTAACTTTTCAGTGTGACCAAAAAAAAATCGTAATGAATTTCTTTTTGGGTCGATGAGAAAAAAATTTCATTGTGTTTATTCTTAAATGATAATTTTTTCTCCCTCCCGCGTATGGCTTAATATCTGAGAAGTGACTGTTGACTGATCCCCACACAAGAATGGATATTAAGTTGAAGTAAACGAAAAAAAGCGGACGGGAGTGAGATTTCGTGACTTAATTAGAAATTCTAGTTTTCATTTTATTAATACTAATTTGGTAAATTGTAAATCATATTTGGAAAGGAAGCAACACATTTTGGGTTGAGTGCAGCCGCGCGCATTGGAAATGTAACATTAAAATATATCTCCATAATATAATGTGCGAGATAAATAAATAAATTGTACATAATTTCTTGGGATGATAATGATTAAGAGTAATAATTGTATATATAGCGTGCATCATTATATTCAACAATTTATAATATAAAATAATATAATTGAAGCAATTTACGTCCTGTTCAAAATCGTGAAGCGTGTCGAAATTGAGAATATCTTCTTGTTCTAAGTACATAGTACATATTTTTATACATTTCTTCAGTTTTATTGTTATTACTTTGAGAAAGAGTGTCTGTATGGTTGGCAAGTGTATAGCACATGGCAACATTGTGGTAATTTCAATACAGAAAAAAGGGAGTGGACGGCAAGTGAGATGGTTTAACTGAAAGAACTTATATCTAATTAATTATCTAGGAGATGTGGTTGCACACTTTTTACTACGCACGGGAAATATTTTCAACTTGCTGAATGTTGTTTGTCAGAATATAAAATTGATTCATGAAGAAATTCCGTCTTCAACTCAGGTGTACAGAGGCCTCAACATCGCCACAGCCAAAGCCACGACATCTGAGCAGCAAGTTGCGCAGCACCATCTTCTAGATGTGGCTCAGCCTGGAATTCTCTACAGCGTGATGGATTTCAGAAATTCAGCACATCCAATTGTATCCTTAATCAAAGGCATACCTTGTGCCATTTGCATAATCTCACCTCCGTGATTTTGTGCGCATTGGAATACCTGTTTCATTGTTTATTTTATTGACCTTTGTCACTCTCATATCACGTAGAAACGCGCAATTCAACGTGATTTTTCTCATATCTCTCAGTGAGGCGTAGAAACTAAATTTTCCTCGCAATTTTGGCGGCATCTACGTAAATTGACCAGTTCGTTAACACATGCTAGAGTTGACAATCGCCATCGGAAAGCGATGGAGTGACGCTCAGTCGATATTTCGTGTAGTGGGAATGCGGAAATATTTTATGTACCGAACATCTATATACATGCATATTATCATGAATGTATGGCTTTGTCAGCAAACATTAACATAATGTAAATTTAAGAATACCTCACACATCTTTCAAATACCACACAAACCGGCAATAGAAATGATATCGATAAGATTAAGTTGGGTTGATTGTCTTCCCACATAATTTGTGTGGAATTTTTTTCCCATGGATACAGTCAATGAGTTTTTGTCAAATTTGGGGGCTTCTATTGAAGTGAGGAGAAAATGAAAGGAAGCATGAAAGTGAATTCTCATATGCTTAAAAGCAAATTTGATTGTTTTCGCAGAATTATTTGCACAGAAACCCAGTCAAATAATATGTACAAGACACTTTGCAAGACTATTAAAACTGGGACTTTTTTCCGTGGGAACTGCCATCAATGAAACTATTCATTGAAACCATTGGGAGTACAGTTGATGATTAATTTTTGTCACATACGTAAAGTAATTATGGTTGGTGATAATTACACAAAATATTAAAGCTCCACCAATGAAATCCCAACATTTAGTCGAGGTATTAGTTTTTGGGAGAGACATCTTCGATATGGAGCAATAACCTTTCGTTTTTCTTCTGACTCTTTGAAGGCTGTACAACGACACCAACTAATTTTTTTTTCGAATTGTATTTTCGTGTGTGGTTCTACGTTCTTCTTCAATGACATTTCTATTGGAGTTGGAAAAAAGTACGGGTTTTTCCTGTTTTAAATATCAACTTATCGCTTGAATGCGGTGTCGTTATATTGATATTAATTGCGATACTTATTTTTGATGATAATAATGCCTAATGATAAGGAAGTTGTTCGGAAAAGAGAATTGGTTTTAATAAGGCCAATACACGTGAGAGTGACAATCGATATTCTTTTTCTCTGAGTTCGCACGAAATTTTCCTCAATTTGAAACAGATAAATGATCTGTTGACGCGAAATAAAATGCCAATTGTTGTTGGTGGGACAAATTACTACATTGAGAGTCTTCTATGGAAGGTTCTCATAACAACATCGACCAATTCACCGTCAACGAGCCAAGAGTGCGGAGTGAAGAGGAAATTGGACAATAGTGACAGTGAATCAGACGATACATTCCACCTAGACACCATTAGGAGATTGACTGAAGAAGAAATGGGCGCGATGGAATCATGCGATCTTCACAAATGTCTCCAGCAGATTGACCCAATTACAGCCAATAGATTGCATCCCAACAATAAGAGGAAAATAATTAGGTGAGTATTCTCTATTATGGTCGATATTGTGTTGAATGGTTAATTTGCAAATCTCAATTTACACTCTATTCAGAGGCAAATCACCTCTGACACTAAAGCGGAACGTATTGAGCTGTGATTTTTCCAAATTTCACAACTGCTGTGTTCATTGAGAAAGTAGAAAGTAAGCGAAAGATTTCAGAATCAAGTCTTCTGGTCCTTCTGGTCAAAGGAATAACGTATCATTTTCTGAAAATACTATTAAGTGGAAATTTTAGTGTGGAAAAGCTCATTTTATAGTCTTTAGTTGCTTAATTCATATCGTTTACGGTGACAGAGAATCATCATTTAGAGAAGCTGAGTAACTCATAGGACTTATCGCATGTTTGATTTCGCGCTCAATGAACGTTCATATGGCGGCAATAATGCTATTTTTCGTGTCTTTCCCATCATCTTTTTTTTTCATTACTTTATAATTTTGTCTCGGGCTATGTTTCCTTCCATGTGCTGCTCATTTGAAATTATAGTGGCACATCGTCGCATAAAAATCCATGTATCGATGTGCTTGTGTAATTTTAAAGGAGCGATAAATGAATTGTTCCATCTCACTGACGTTCCCGCACTTGAGGAAGAATAGAACAAAGTGATGAAATTTCATATCAGACTTTCTGGTAAACAATATAATTTGACACTCTAATTTCTGTGCCTATGGGAAATTATTGGTAACATTATAGAAAGAAAGATAGTTTGCGTTGTGAATAAATTATGATTTCGTGGTTTTCTTATTATAAAAATCAGTGTATTATTAGAAACGCCTTCGCTTTTGCCCTCTTTTGTAGTTAAAAATTGCAGTGACATGGTTTGCTTGCAAAGGAACGCACATATCAGCCAATTATTTCAAAATAACGATAATATAATGTCGTTACTGCATCACATGGTATTTTATGTATGCTTCATTTTTCTTCTTTTTCTTCAACATCGCGCAAACTATTTCCTATCATGAAAGTAAAATTACGCTGAGCATAGGTCTTTCCTGTGTTTGTATAGCGCGAGAGAGACAGTTATGTGCAATAATTATGTAAATTCGTTTTTATTGGTAAATAACAAGAGAGTACGAAATGTATAGAAAGAAGATGAAATTGACATGCGTGAGAGGGAGAGAGACAAGAATACAAACATAAACATAAACACGGGCCAGACTCCCTTGTTATAATTAGCTGGCGGCAGTGGAGACTAATTATGATAATTAGGATCTTATAATTTCAAATGGAGTAAAAAAAAGAACGAGTGAAGAAAAATGGAATGGAATGATTTCATGAAGAATTAGTTCATTCACATACTGGTATTATGGAATGTGTGCAGGGCTTTGCGCAATATTACACATTTTTAATCATAATAATAATTCCCTACTGTGTGTATTGGGATCTCTCTGAGCATAAAAGTTTGTTGTAACACATGAAGAACATTCTTGGCGGATTCAGCGCGATGTGCATTGCTTCTTTTTTGCACCGCATGTGTGATAGTGATGCTCTTTCTTGTATAAGCCTCCCTTCCTTTCATTTAATGCTAAAGTGGGTACCATTTAACTTCTCTCAAACTAGAGAGACGCCCTTTAAAGCACACTTCGCCGAGTGGGTTCTTAAGACATTGCTAGAAGGCACGTACACCTGTAGATTCTCCTCTTGTTGTGGTTTTTACGCCGCCTTTCGCCCTTTTGGCTGGATGAGCAGCACACGAAGCGTTGTCCTTTTCCCACTTATACAGTCCTCGTGCTTGAAAAAACCTTGCGCGTATGGCAAAATAAATAGAAACGGCAAGTCAATGCCAACAGATCGTGGAGGAGGCCTGAAGAAGTGCATCATCGTGTGTATGAGTGGTGTATATTCATTACTATAATAATTAATCACGATTCCGGATCGGCGCGGCGTCTCGTGCCGCCAATTTCTGGTTCGTCGCGTATTTTGTCTCGCGAATGGGTGAGAAAAGTGCATGTGAGCAATGATTGTTGCGCACCGGAGACTTCTCTAAATGCAATAAAATAGAGATGGAAAAGAACGCAAAATATCTCGAGGTTTTGTTTTCTTTCCCCGGCATCTTTTCTCTGGCAAGTAAATGGCACGGGACGGGAATTCTTTTAGATGCTATAACATTGTTGGTTTCCTGCTGATTTAATATTTATAAATGGATTTTTAGACCCTTTAGTTACACTTGCTAAGTTTTGGATGTGCGGAACATCAATTTCAAAAGCAAGTAGTTTCAACTAGATAGATTTATACGGCATAATATTGCACAATTCATCGTATTGTGTTACATTTCATTGATTGATTTGTTATTATGGCCACAGAAGAACTGAATTTTTATTAGGTCAAGATCGCCGATCAATTCCTGTGTTGCTGTTATTGTTTTCATTGCACTTGTGTACAGTCATAACATTCGTAATAAGTGTGAAATAACTCTAAAGGCAGAATAAATGGGTAGTGCAAAGGTGGTTTCTTCTATATTTTATCAGAGAATGATATTCTCTCCGCGCTCTGAAATAGAACTAGTGAATGGTGTCTGTTGGAGTCCCTCGCGCCATATGATCAGATTGCTGGCAGATCTATACATATTGAAAATGGGGAATTTAGGTCAGTGATGTGTTTATGTCATTAAAGCAATTCTCTCTATAACATTGTATAAATGTTCCGGGTCTTCAGTAATGTGAAGAAGAAAATCTGTGGCTGTCTCGACTATCCAATATATTTATGTAGATATGTTTCCACGATCACCGCAAAAAATTGTCTATTTTTAAATATACTTCTACCTCACTTTCAGTACTTCCTTTTTTCGTGTTCGATATTTGGGGAGTACAATTATATTTGATAAAATAATAATTCTACGAAATTTGATTACACTCGCACATAAGCATATGAGTGTCAAAGAGCTATGTAATGTACAAAGGTATCACTCATTTACATGGAAATTCCTATTGATTTGCTATCTTATCGTGAGCAGCCACTGAACTGTCCTTCAATCATATTGGACAAGTAGGGTCACTGATGTATTAAGTACTGATTAAGTACATAAAGATTTTATTGGCATTGGCGCCGTATATCGTCTCAAATTATATCGGAAATTCTCAAGCGATCTTCAATGAAATTAGGAATTGCTTAATGTTTCACTTTCTGTGTCTTTCGCCGCATGGAAGAGACTGTGAATAGCCAAAAGACTCCCGAGATAAAAATATTGAAGAGATCATTTAGAGAATTTTAATTATTTCCTCACCGGAAATCCACGCCCATGCAGAATTGCTGCATGAAAAGAAGGTGACTTACAGGAAGCGTGGTTAGAGTGTATGTGCATATTATTTGTTATAGGATGCATATATAATTGCTTTGTGAAGAATCTACGTGTGTATTAACTTCTGCTTCAAGTATTAATTTTCTACAATCTGTAAATACAATTGCGGGAGATTGTCTAATATAATGTTTGTTCGGCCTGCACTTCCCCTATTATGGTCTAGCTAAAATTTAGTGTATTTAAAATATTAACATCTTTTGAAGTGAGCATTAGTGGAAGAAAAAGGACATTGACATGAAAAATGGCTAACTAATTGGCAACTGGGAAACTAAAATATGAGTCAAGAATAGAGTCAAAGGCATGAGTAACATTCATTCGCACATGGTTGGGTGCTATTTCTTCGCAGTTCGCACACCCGCGCCTTTTGGGGCGGAGGGCGACTTCTCGGGGAATTTCTGTGCGAAAAAATGAGCACTAAAATAGACTAACCAATAAATTGACACGCGATCAGTGTCCTTGGGGATGTCGTGAAATTATGAGAGAAGGAAGTGTGGGAAAACCCACGCATCGCGCAATCAAATTGTGTAAAGTCAACTCTAACATTACTTTTCTGTGACCTGGCAATCTTGCCGGAATCACATGCTCTACTGTCTGCCGAATCATTCTCACATTATGTATATAGTGAAAGAATCTTCTCTTCTTATCCAATCACACTGTGCGTATACTGTGGGATTTTTTGGCAGGCACTAAAACTGTGTCAAATGATCTTCGGTCAGTCACATAAATATTTCCGACGTATGGATTTACGGGTGATTTGTCGACGGTTGGCAGAAAGAGAGAATGAAGATTCCTACGGCAATCTTCACACGCCCCCGATGTCTCTCACTCCACCACGTGAAAGAAGTGTGAAAGATGGGAAAGAATCCACTCAGAGATTGTCCATTTCATGCAAATCATTCTTCATCCTCACACACTCTGTAGTTTTTTCTTCTTCTCTTCCTTGCGCCACTCCACTAAATGCCAAGTCTCGAGACGAGACGCTCATACAAGAATCTAGAGAAATGTTATGGCGAAAATTAATCTTACGTGTATTTTCATCACATCTTCCGGGAAATTTGGTCGAAAACGAGTTGCTTCGCAATCCAAAGTATATAGATTTGTTCAACTATAGAGGAGGCTCAGCCTAAGAAGCGCCGTATCACATATATTCTTTAAACGTCTGGATTATATTAATGCGCAGTTTTCCAGCAGGAAAATTTGCAAATCGGCATTTAGAGGGATGTGTTCAATGATTTTATAAGACGTTGTGCAATCATTGTAATTTTTCTTGTGCGTATATGTCTCTTTGATCTCTTCCTCAGTCATACTCTCACTCTCTGTATCTATTTGCAGCTGAGCGGCATTCTCAGTGTTGAAAAGTTCGTTGTCCCTTGGATGTATTTAAAAATTAAATGCTTATATCGTGGCTGAGATGGTAAAATTTATTTATGGCCATCTCCAGATTTGAAGTTGCACTTTCATAGACGGTACAAACACTATCACTTGGCATTCCCGAGTAAAATGGAGACACTTCACACTTAAATTTCGTGTCAAAGTATTCCACAATCTTATTTTTATTTCTTTGCCTCATCTTTCCCTTCAATTTCTGGCGTAACTTTTTCAGTACGAATGGATTTGGAGGGAGTCGTCGACTGGTTAGTGGGCAAAGAGACATCAGAAACACTTAAGGAGATAACGTCGTT